TATATAAATACATAGGTAGCTACTAGCTATGGTTGATGAAAATATTTGGAAAATTTTTATGCCACAAGCAATATGGAATCGATTTTCATAATTCAATTTTTTATATAAATTCCAATCACAACCTAAAGGAAAGGAAAGCCTAATCGAATATTTGTTGAGGAAAGCTTGAGGTAATATTTTTTTGCACTGAAAATGTATTGAAATTATTCACGATGATATTTATATTAGGATTCCTGAGCGTCATTTATCTCACTTTCGGTCTCAGCATATGGAAACATATTGCAGATAATAGTCATACAATAAACAGTTTTTCAATTTTCTAAGTCTCGTCACGTTTTTCCTGTCTTATTCATGCTTTCACATGCTTTGACTTCTACTAATGTCGAAAATGTTTTCAATCACTTAGGTAAGCATGCAACTATGCAGTCAGTTGTTAGTTACATTAAAAAGCAATTGAATGAAGTGGAAATATAAATACTAAAAGAACTACCTTGGAATATTAACATGTACAAAGCAATGATTGATTTGCTAAGGCCCAGTTATGTATGTGATGAACAGTTTGTAGTTTCTTAATTTTCTTAATTGACATCAGTTATGCTTCTATATTTCGATAATGTAATTAAATCCTCCGTCTTATTTTTTTTTATAGATATTTGTAATCAAATAATCTTAAAGGTAAATAAATTTAGAGGCCAGAATGTATTTTTTTAACATGAACTCGACTCCGCAATATGTACATACATATAAAAGTAGTAAGAAAACTAACCTTTAACTTAATAGCACAATAGAATTTGAAAATATTATGTTTTGTTGCTATTTTATCATCTCTTCATTACTCCACAAAAGAACTTACCCACCTTTAAGAAATTAATATCTTTTGATATGCAGAAATATGAAGTTTTTGATGTTTTATATTTATAACTTTTAAGGTTTGTGATATCATATCAAATTCCGATTCATGGTTGCTTATTTTGACATAAAATGTATGTTTATATACATACAAGGTTTGTTATTATTTAAAAATGGAGAAGTGAAAGATGTGTCGACATTCAATCTTCTTCATGTGTTAAGATATTTATAGAAATATACGTTCATGTTTTCGAGTCGTAAAATTTTAATATCAGGTCTGCTAACTTGCAACAAAATTATCTCATAAAAAGTAAAATAGATTCTATGCTAATAAACTTGTTTCCTAAATCATTTATTTTTGTATATAAGAAATTTTGAGGCGATGGGATTTGATGGTATCGAAATTTATTGAAAATACTTGGGAAATAAAAGATAAATCAACCGAAATGTTGTTGGGAAATACAAAAAGTTTCCTAATAACGCATGTGAAACTGCTCCTCTTTATATTTAGCTTTAAATTTAAACACTTTTATGATTGCTTCGAAACAATACATTCACACTGCTTAGTTACCAGCAACTCTCATTTCTCGAAGCTCATTAGGAAAATTATAAAAGCATGTAGCTCGACTGTTCATTAACAATTTTAAGGAAAATGAAACGGCAGTAGGTCTTCTACACATTAATCCTTAAATTCTCCACTCGATGATTCTTCTAATCTGGGAATATTTTCCCTTTTCTGATATACAATTTTAAGGAACTTGTTAACATAAGGGAATTATAATCTCATAAAATTTTCATAACTTACATGGGTAACAAAGATGAGAGATTATGACTAATGCTATAAATAGATTAGCAGCTTTTGAAAACGACTGAATTCCAATATGAATCATAAAATTATTTGTAATTTGTTTACAGTAAAAATGAATTTTTTTTAGATTCTTGCGGTGATAAAAATTTATGATAAATATTGAATAATTTTTGTAAATGTTCAACTTAATAATCATTAAAACAAAACGTTGTAAGATTGTGATAGTGATTCATATTTCTAGATAATGAATATTTGATGTTACTTTAATATAAGTAACACAAGTAGGTATTTCAATCCTTTTCCCCTCTTTATTACTTTTATTTTTCATTTATGCTTCTACTGTGAAACTACATTTTCCTCTCCTTTGAATCTGATTGTCGACAATGCTCTTTAAATAATTTCCATAGAGAGACAAGCTAAGAAATTCTTTTCATTTCAAAACCAGACATCAAATTCATCTTTAAAATTATCATCTCGTATCTTCTTTAAGAAGAAATAAATATGGTTAATCGAAGAATCCCTAAAAAATAAATTGAAGAATCAATATTTCATTCAAAAGATTTTTTTCACGTCATTAATCAAGTTTCGATATTTAATAGGTCTCATTATAAAACGCAGTTATTTAATATAGTTTGTTTATATTCGAAGATTAATTATACAGTGAATTTGCGACGATGATTGAAGAGACCGTGTAATGTATTTTTGAAGGGAGAAAAATGTCTCGTTCTATCGAGAAATTGCGTACTATCAAGACTGCTCATATCGAAGTTCATTGTTTTTAAAAATTATACAATAAGATTCTTTTAATCTTTAGATTTGAAGAAATCTTCGACTTTTTGGGACACACAATATAGAAAATTTAAACTTTTTTACTCAAACATCAACAAAGGAACATAATTAATTATTTTTAGATTTCAAGGCAGCATAAATAATACAAGGACTATGATTTGGAATAAAAGGACAATGCTAAAGACAGAGGGGATATTGTTCTGAATAATAGAAAAACCTTTTTGGACTCCTAGATAAAGCAGAGCGAATGACATTTCAAAAGTGCTTTTATTTTATTTCTTTGTTTCGTGATAAACCTCTTTAATCAAAGGAAGATTCAGAATTGAAAAAGATTTATCACATTTCAAACAATCTTGAACCTTGTATAGATAATACAAATCTACATTTAAAAGAAAAAAATTGGTATTTTAGAATGTTAAGAAAAATCTATCACGATACGATAACATTCTTCAATTTTAAAATATTTAAAACATCTTGAAAGAATCGGTAAACAAAAAATCCATTTTTAAAGTTATTTATAAATTAGTAGGTAGCGTTTGTAAGGAGAGAAAGGGACTGAAAAGGTCATATTTATCGACAAATGTAATTATTGTAATTCTCACTTTCACTCAATTTTCTTGCTCTTTTAAATCTAAAAACCTTAACAATATTTCAATTAAAACGTATCATGTTGCCGCCGCGTGAACAATGAATTCATTTTTCAGAATATTCGAAGACAGATTGTTCTTGATCACTTAAGGATTAAATAAAATCAAAAGTCAAATTAATTAATAGAGCAATTCAATATAAAATTCATTGTTTGAACATATATTAAGACATAAAGAAGAAATTTAAAGTTCAAAATAGATAAATGATAAATTAACAATCAGAATATAAGTAAAAATCATTGATAGCAAACGTGTAAGTTTGAAGCAACAACAAAGACTAATATTTGGAAAAAAAAATCACGAGCTGGAATTGGAATATTTGGAAAATTTATTCCAGTCTGGAAGTTTCTACATTTTCAAAAAAAAAACAGAATTGAATAAACTTTCTAGTATAAATATTGTATCTTGATAAAGTGAACAATTTCTGCTTCTTGACAGATAACACGATTGCACTGAGAATATCTTGATATGTTGAGCAATATATCTTGGATAATCTCTTCTGTAATATAAAGTTGTAACCAAAGTTTTAATCTGTTTCATATGATTCTAAAAAGAGATTTTATTTTAACGATTTAATAAAAAGTTTACATTAACAGCGACAATTTCTGATACTTGATTTTTCATCATTTTTAATATTTTTTATCTCGTTTTTGAAAAGATTCGTTATTTAAGTTTTATGAAGCTCCTGTTTGTGTAAATGATTACCAATTGTATAATAAAAATGCGTATAATTTCTACATCTTTTATTTAAAAAATTTCAATGACTGAAACCAGATTTTTGAATATTTCTACGACTTGAACAACAGACTGAGTTTTTCACACTTTCCACTTCAATTATTTAGCACTTTGATAGTGCTTTTTTAGCTATTATTGTACACATTTGTACGCATGTGACCTTTTCACAAAAAATGTATTTTAAGAGGATTCCCTTATGTCCATGAACATATCTGAATATAAAATCAGGAAAAAGATCCTTTTCTCCTTTAAGGAAACTTTAGTCTAGTTTTGTTTCAATATTTCCAATACATCGCATAAATCCGCACATCACATGAAATTTTTAATTCCCATCGTGTAGCTCAATCAAACTCAATAAAACGTGACAATACTTTTTATACATGGAAGAATCTGAACTACTCAAATCGCATTATTTTCATATTATTGTTGACGTTTTAGGTCAAAGTTTTGTTGTTAAAATTAATATCAGAAATTTTTTATCTTATTTTTTAAACATTGTAGGAAAAGAATCTTTTAAAGTCGAATTTATGTTGTAATAAATAAGAGAATGAAAAATTATTCAAAAGTTGTACAAACAGCTAAAATTCTAAATTTCTGAATATTTCATGAGAATTTCTGAATAATAAATAAGATTGTACTGATTGTGTTTAGATGCTATCAGTTTTTACATAAGTTCGAACATTTCTGACCAATGAGTTGCAAACAGAATTGACATGCTGGAGAATTTGTTTGCAAGAATATTTTATTGAATCGAATACAAGCTGATAAAGGTAGATGTTGTTGACGGATGGACCAAATTAAAATCAGGATTTATTCAGCATAAAATGAATACGAACAGATTCTAACCACAACTATGGAAAACTCAGTGACAAAGAAAGCGAACCCAAATGTCCTCAATAAGGTTGATGAAGTGTGAACGAAATATATGATTCGAGTTTTTCTCACTTTTATGAGTATGTGCAAAGAAATATTTCATCATTGTAAGAGAATTCGATAAATGTGACAGATTTTATTTGTTTGCAATGTATTTTTATCAGCACATACCTTTTTCAGATGTTATTCTGTAAGAATCACAGGAAATACAGTTTATTAGAATATCTTGGTAAAATAACAATCTACTGAACGTCAACTATAAGTTTAAATGAGTTCAAAATGGGGTTGATTGAAATAATTAAGAGAAGAAAACATCGAAAGCTAAATTATTCACTTCAGGAAGCTCATGAATAATTCTTGATTAAGACAAAAGTTCGCTTTACACAATATAACAAAAAGTTCTTTATAATTTGCAATTATAATTCTGAAAACAGCTTGAAAAGGCGTGTAAGAGTTAAAAAGTATTTTTCTAATAATGATTTAGATGTAGATTATTTCGAATGCTTAATACTTAAAATCTTATTTCTGAGAATTTTTGATTTGATGTTGATTTATCTAACAACAGATCTACATTTACTTATTCAGACGAAGTTTGTCTTCTTAATATAATTCCAGTTTATCTTGGAAAATGGAAAACATCAACAGGTCGTTTTGAATTTTTCAAATTTTCACATATTTTGTTCATTTTAAATCATTTTCTTCAACCTAGTCAAAAATATTTTTCTCGCAAAATTAAAAAATAAAATTTTGTAATTTTAACGTAGCAATTGAGAAATGTTTTCATTACTTTAAAGCTTCAAATTTCTACCTTTCAATTTTAAGAAAATTACTTTGGAAATTTAAGTGTAGAATTATTAAGATTAATATTTAAAATCAGAAATTTTCTTTACGTATAGTTGTAGGTATTTAGCCTCGAAGCTTTTCGGTAAATAGTTGAGTTAAAACTCAGTAATAAAGTTGGGTAAAAACTTTCGCTCCACAGATTCTCATGTAAAACAAAGCTTCAAATACTGACATTCATTGCTTAACTCCCACAGGTAGTTAACAACATCAAATTTTGCTCAACATCAAGTTCAGTGAGATTCGTGAATGAAGCCTGCCTATAAGTCTTCAAAGCACTTTTCATAACTTATGAGCAGAAATCAAATTTCATTTCCCTAATGCAGCAATCTCACCAATTTTTGTGATTCATTTATTATTCATTCATTTTTTAAATAACTAATATTTGTTCTACAGTTTTTTGGAGAAAGAAAGATTGCTTTAAATATCTAATTGAAGAAGAATATGAAGAATTTCCTATAAAAGTATTAAATAAACTTATGTTGAACCATAAAATGCTATTTTTGGATTGTTAGACGTATTAAAAAGGATTAAAAAATTGTGCTAATTATTTTGGCAGTGTTCTAATGTTTATTTCTGATGACTATCTGCTTTCAGTAAACAAATATTTCCAAATGGTTCTTGAAATTTAAACCCCATTATGAAAGGATTTATAATCAATAATTTTGTAAAACAGTTCTTAGAAACTACTTTTCTTTTTAAAAATATTAACCCTTTCTGTTGATGTTAATCTCGAGTGATGTTGAAAATTGATCAAGATTTTTATGTTTGTTAAATCTTCTATGTGGAGTTTCTTATATATCTTTTAGTTCATTGAAAAAAAATTAAAAGGACATTCTAAACACATAAACTATTATTAATGTTTAACAAAGTTGCGCACAAGAAATGAACCAGGAATTTATAAATATTTAAAATCTTCTGAGTTTGACTCTGCTTTTGAAGGTAGAATTCTGTCACAATGAGGGAATCAAATTACACAACCTTTAATCATTATAAGGATATAAAAGTCACTTGGTAGTATAAAACACGTCTGATACTTAAAGCTCAACAATAAATTGATTGAAGGAAATTTCAATCGATGAATTGGAAAACCCAACAAAACAAAACCTTTTTTAACCAGCATTTTCACTGTCCCTAAGCTTTTTGGAGTCCCTTCGTAACCCTGCTTTAACACGTCATTAATCAAATTATTATTATACAAAGTTTTGACAAAAATGATATCACAGAAGGTTATAATGTCGAAATTCAAGTTTTTTAATGGTTTTTGCAAGAGTTTCTATTCGGAAATAATCAAAAATGAATGAAATAATATGAAACGTATTTTTCAGATTTTAGTTTCTCCTAAAATGTTCGATATTTATATATTTAAATATTCTGCAATTAAGAATAAGTTTCTAAAATGTTTTTTGTCATCTTCCATGGTCTTCCTTTACGACAACATCATTTGATTTAATTTATTTATTTATTCTGCCAAATAATGTATCTATGTAGACATTTTCACCTTTTTCACCTTACTTTGTATGTTCTGAAAGCACAAAAGAAAGTTAGTTTTTATTGTATTTAGAAAGTTCAATGATTTATCGAGGTCAAACCCATAAATGAACAATTAATAACTTTTTAAGCCATTCAGAGATAATATGTGAGGTTTTTTCTTTATCATCGTGAGTTAGTTTATCAAAATTTGTATGATTTCATGAAAACATGAATTTAACGGAATGCTTTCGTGAAAGTTTTTTTTAGATCTTCGTTCATGAAACTTTCATCTAGTAAAATATTTTCTTCAAAAATAAGAAATTCTAAGGATATTGCACTTTTTTATCTTTCAGTTGGAAGTAAGAACATTAAAAGTTAATGATGTCGTTTCAAGATTTTATGCCAATGGAAATAATTAAATTGGTAGCTGAGGGCATTTAAATGGCAAAAAAGCACTGAATAAGGAAAGGAAAATACAAGGTTTCATTAGAGAAACCATGAATAAAACATTTAAATAATAAACAAAAGGAATTAATTGCCTAAGCCCCCTCTCGAAATTATCACAAGCTAATTTAAGGTGACCGCTTCTCAATTATGTTGAAGAATGCTTTTAAAATACTCATGAATGATTTTAATGTCCCTGTCATTTTAGGTGAACTTAAGTAGCATAAGCTAAAAAACAATCCTAGAATTTCAGAGTTTCACCTAGCAGAACTATTAGGAGTTCAGATTACGTTGTGTTTCTATAGCAATAATTTTCCTTGTGCTTCACTTGACGAGTTAATAATTTCTTTTGGGTAGAGTAAATTTCCTTGAAGAAGCAAACAATCTCAAGTGTTCCAATGCAAAAGACTAGTCGATGTCAATCACGCTACTTATTTATGCACTGATAGACTTTCATTGTTGCTTTGTAGATTGTTGTCATGTACAACCGCCTATTCCAACAAGAACCCCATTGAATCATCAACTAGTATGAATAATAAACGTTGCTACCAGCATAAAGATACACAGTATGAACTCTGACGTAAAGCTTATATTTTTAAATCTTTCACAGCTGCTTTCATAGAAATTTTTTTTTTCATTTTCTATACTTCACCATGTTTTAAATCTATAGAAATTTACGGAAGTAGACTAAAGAGAGCTTATGTTTTTAATTCAACAGAGAGCTTTCATGTGTATGAAAATATCGTTCAAAGTGTCACCATGCTTGATTCCACAATTATGAAAATTATTGAGAATAATAAAACGTTAGCCTTTTGTTTCTCAATTAGATGTGGAAAAGAATTCCTCAAATTCTTCCACTAACTGTAATGTTTTGTATATTCAAATAGCAGTGATTATTATTTTCAAAGAATTTCGTAGAAAATTCACGATTCATGAACGTTTAAACAGATCATAAACTCGTCAGTAAATTCTATTTCCACGAAGCATCATCTGTGCCTTCGTGTTGTATATTTTGTATGAGTAAGGAGTTAACAGATATCTTTCGAAATCCTCACGGCTTAAAATTTTTAACCATCTAGTGGATTATTGAAGTTGTGCCCTGGAACAATTAAAAAGGTCTGTGAGCGAATCCTTTTTTTATATTCTCTAAGCTGTATAAATTATGAATATTAATATTTGTTTAAGTCCTGTTTTGAAATCTCTTTAACACTTTGATAGAATAATTAGAAATCATCGGTAAATTAAAGAATTAAAGCATATGTTTCAGAAATAGCTACAATATGCGTGTTGCTTTTCTATTAAATATTTATCAACAAACTTTGCTCCTACTGGTACAAAACAGATAAATTTATGACAGTGCCATCATAAAAGTCCATCAACGGTCTGTATTTGTACAAAAATAAGAATTGAAAAAACTTTTATTGCTGTCATCATTAAATAATATAAATGTACATTTACTGGAAGAAATCAAGTGTATCTAAATCAAAAAGTTTGAGCTTTTTCTTGTTGGTCTCCTTCAGGTTTTGGACTTTATCATTTCCCTTGAGAATTGTCACAATCTGTTCATCATATTCAAATTATTTTTAAAAAAGAATAACTAAACATAAAAAAAGAAACAAATTTCTTGCAAGCTTCAAAATGTCAGAAGATTTTATTAAAATTTCACTGTAGATTAAAAGCAGAGAAACTTTTTCAATCTCTGGGAAGTTTTTCTTCCTTCCTTCTTAATAAGATTTTTGATGACTTAAAAAGTTCGTTCCCTATTGAACAATTAGATTATAAAAGGCAATTTCAATGTTGTGCTTTGGTGCATAAAAGTACAGAAAGTTTGGGTTGATATAATTATTACCCTGTAATGATTTTATAGATATTTAGAAAGTGCACTTAATTTTTTATCTTTTCTTCTAATACGAATCAAATATTTTTCTGTCTTACATAATTATAAAAATTTTTGAGTTAATAACAAAATACTTCTTTTTCGTTCTATCCATAATTAAATGCTGAGTGAAGAAGGAATAGAATGAAGTGAAAGAGGAAAAGAAAAAGTTCTCAATTTTAGAGACTTATGGTTGGATGCATGGCTTGAGTAACGAACCATTAGAAGGGAAGGAAATTCAATTATGGTAACGAGTGGAAAACATTTTGCCAACGACTTAACTTAAAACTAATTGCTTTTTTGTACCGTCAGCTTTTGTCGTTTAATATAGCATAATATGTTGACCCATAGGAATGATGCGAATCCCATATAGACAACTCTAAATTGTGGCGGAACAATCAAAAAGTTGATAGTTTGAGCCGGAAGCCAAAACACACACGACCGTTGAAAGGTTGAAAGAAATTTTTTTTGACACTCGTCGAACGGATGCTTTTGCATCTCCATTAACGACATTCCCGTATAAAACAGCACCAGCAAGATAGGCGTTAAAATAAATTGATCCAGAAGTAATTTCCGCACAATTATTTTACGCGTAGTTCCAGGAAACGTTCGGTCGAGCCACTTGTACCAGTTGAATAAAATCGGAGAATAAATAAAAGTACCCATGACGGCATAACGACCAAGTGTTGGCTTGTCAATATCTTGCGGTATTTTGCTCTATAATAAATATTAATGAGGATATGAACTTACGCCGCATAAGGTGTCAGAAGGAAATTTATTGCTTAGCTAGAAAATGTTGCTTAAGAAATAAACATCCATAAGTCATCACTTACGAGAAATTTTTTCATTATTGTCTGTTGTGAGAGTTCGGCACCCTGCAGAGAAAAATAATCTAAATAATAAGGACCTTAAAATATTCTTTGTCTCATGAAATTGAATTTTCATCTTAAATCATCTTTTCGAATGAAATCTTCTATACAGATTTACTTTTATGTTATTCAATCTTCAAATCTCTTGCAAACATTTCATTAAATGAAAACGATTTTTAGGAATAATTTAGCCATCGTTATTTTTGTTTTATTTTTGAGAGAGAAAGGTTGTTGATGACAGCAAAAAAATTGATGCTGTCCTTTGATAAATTAAATGTGATTTTATGAAACATGAAAAGGAAGCAATTTTTGCTTTATTTCTGTTAGGTATTTCATTTTCAAGATATTTAATGTATGCTTAAAATAAAACATATGAAAAGGTCACATCAATCCTATAGAATTCTCCTTTTCAACCTCACAATTCTGATCCGATGTACGATATTTATATAGAATAAGAAAAGCAAACTTTCAAATATAAATTTTATACATACCACATAAAGAGATCCATAAACCATACAATTTGCTATGAGGGGATGTTTCGTAAAGAAATATTTTGATGCTTGTAAAAGCGCCATCGTTATGTTTTCTTAAACGGTTATGATGTTACGTGAGTTAAAAAAGATTAATACTTTATCTTGTAGATTTTTGCTGCGGTTCAGAAAATTCTAAATTGTTAAACTTGAGAAATGTTGCAATTGCTTGTTGAACATAAAACGTGTCGGTCATGCTACGGTAGAATGGTTCCCATCAAGAAGAAATTACTTTAATGTTTAACCTCCTAGCGATGACAGCATAAATAGAGAAAAGAAAATCGATACAGAACAAGTTCCAACAAGCGAAAAAGAAAAGTTTGCTCACAAGAAATCCGCAATGAATATTTCATACGACACAAATGAAAAATCTACCGCAACAATTTTCACCTCCGTTGAGTGCAATAAAGTTTACTTTTCAACATTTGAACTCAAATAAAGTACAAATTAAAGGCACAATTTTATCTCTGGAGGTTTCAATGTATTCTCACAGAGACTAAAAGCTAACGATTTCAATTGCTTTGAGATGAGACTAAATTATTTCATCATTTTCCCAAACCCAATTCATACAACGAAAAATTGTGTTTTTATATTAGCCAATACAAACACACACATAAAAGCATCAAAAACATGCACAAACTCAGAAGGCTCGTTTTATGAACAGCATTTCCCAATAATTTGGGTGCAAAGGCTTTTCTTCATTTGTTTTGACGCCAATTGTCCTGCCATGTGCCTTCAATATTTATTCATGAGTTTGAGGTATTTCCCATTCCAACTCTGTCAACGTTGAAATATGATAAGATAACAGAATATTTTTCAATTTAAGTATTTACATTCATATTCGCGCTCTACGTCACTGAATTAACTTCAATTGAATTTGAGATCATAAAACTCAATTAATTCCTACAACTCCGAATGCTGTCTGTCATAAGAGTTTTAAATTGAGAAAGCAGCGGGTGGTGCGTTAAGCACCATGAAGCATACACAGAATTGATTTGTACAGAATCGAAAAGAAAAAAAGTTTTAAAACGATTTCTGTAAAGACTTCAAATGGAGCATGAAATTCAAGGGGTTTCAACGACTCCTTAGCAATAAATATGAATGTTAAGTAGGGACTTCTGTCTTTTCTTATAAATAATTTATTTTTAGACTTGTTTTGATCACATGAAAAATTTCCTGAAAAGCTTTAAACATTGACTTCAGATGGAGTTTTATCTATCATTAAATATTTATTTGCCATTCTCAACTGATAACAGCACACAATTTTAAAATTTGATATCATGTTTCAATTTACAATCATAATCTATTATGTGAATTTGACATTTTGATCTTCATTTTAGCTGCAATAATGCATCTAAAGAAAAAATAAGAATAAATTAAAATTGATACAAATCATGGCATATTTTAAATTCAATCATTTTTCTGCATCTCTTGATTGATAAAACAACAAGTAGCCAGTTTCTGACGATTTCTGGATGTCGCTAGTAAGTCCGTAGAAATCTTCAATAGTTGAAGCATCGATTTTGTCGACCATGTCATCATCAAACAAAAGCCAAAACCCATGGGATTTGACAATACTTATATAGTGACCTCGATTGGTATTTGAACCACAATGAATAACAACAGCCATTAAGTCGTACATGCGATCGGGGTTCACAGCATCATCAGACTGAAAATGAAATTCAAATGATAATTTTAGCTTAATTAAAGATAATTTCTTATCTTACAGTATTAAACAATCTCAATTCGAGTGGAAATACGACACGATGCGATACTTTAATATGACGGTTATATTGCTCCATGTACTTGAAACGTTTTAATTGCAGTGCAAGGATCATCGGAAGTTTCTTGACTCGCATTCGTTTCTGAGCCTCTTGATACGAACAGCAGTTATCACACTTAAATTTATTATCACTACAGAGGGTTTCAGTGTTGCTGAAGCATCTGAGGCAATGCGTTATTGATGTGTTTTGATCGACATCCACTTGGAGATCAAAAAAGTTTTCATCTTTGCTACTGATTGTTTCACAATTTAAGCATCGCGTTTCACTGGTAAGAACACCTTGAAAAATCTCGTGTACCCATGTCGGCTCAGAAGTTGAAGTGCTGCTGTTGTTATTAGTTTCATTCTCTCCAAGAATAACACCATTTGTTGTCGGTTTTGTTTTACCTTGATTCCTTTCAGCTAGAATTATTTCATTAATATGATTAATGAGAAAATTAAGAAATTCGTGTGCATCTTGTTGCATGTAATTATCAAATTCCTCTTTCTCCTTTCTAAGTCGCGCTATGAACTTTTTCGGAGCAATAGAGCCTACTTTTTTCTTTTGAGTTGCAATTGAATAGAATCTAGAAAACATAAAAATGAATTATCGATTTTAATCTAAATTTTTTTATGAATCAACTTACAAATCGGCGAGACATGTTAAAAGTGTTTCCTTGTTTCTTTTGTTTTTAAGCTTATATTCCAAGACTTTTTCTCGAAAAGGTTTACAGAAATATAATGCCTGTAACACTGAATTGCTGTAGCATGTATTCCCAAACTAAATTAAAATCAAAACAAGTTGGACAACTTATCAAAACAATATCAGAAAAATTATTTTTTTACTCTTACATTAACTAATCCAAAGTAGTGTTCATTTGCTGGAAAGTCAGATCCAATGTCTCGTTCAAGTTGAGATATATTTGTCCCCATTTTCTCAGTTCTTCCCCATCTAAACTTTTATTTTTACCTAATATTTTGAAAAGAGTAAAAAGTTGAGATTTTTTGCTCACTTCAGAGAGTTGCTCAATTTTATCATTCAAAATTGTCGTTAAAATTGTTTTTAAGTTTCTTCAATATTTTAACATCCTATTTTATAAATTAGGTAAGTAGGTAGTCAAAGCTCTTCATGTTTGAATGGGTATATAAAACGATCGCAAAATCTTCAAAGTCATTTCGATAAGGATTACCTATATGTAAGCTCATTCATTATTATTATTTATTATTATTATTATAATTAAAAATGAGAAATTCATTTAATTGTAAAATTCCATATTCCGTCCGATGACTTTATTTATAGTAGCCAATTGTATTTATGAAGTACCTTCAATACTCATTTATCTCTTATGTATGTATTTTCAAAAAAATTTCATGTGTCAAGAAAGTTTAAAAACATTTTAAATTAATTCCAACAATCGTAAATATTAAAATTTATTCCCAAAACAACATTTGCCACAACATTAAACATAAGGGAAATAAGGAAACTTTTCATGCTTTTGTTTTTAGTATAAGGGGCTGTTCGTGGAAGAGTAAGGCTGCCTCTAATAACAACAATTTATGAACTCTTATTCCAATCTTTCAAAGCCAAATATTATCATCACTGCGTAGGTTTTTGCTGATGGCTATTTATCATATTTTTATGATAAGATATATATTAAAGAAAGCCTTGCTCTTCCAAGAACAGCGCCATTAGTGAGAAAGATATCTATGCAAATGTTGTAAATACATTTAAGAAGTAGATTGAATATAAGTTGATAAATATTAGGTACTCTGTGCACATTAAACAAATGAAATTTTGTGGAAAAACAGAACATACAATTTAGGTGCTAAATGATGCAATTTATTTATTTTTTTGTTTCTATACTTACAGATACTTATTAGTAGAGTCAAGAGTGAAGTATTATAAGCATTTTTACGACGATACATAATACATATGTAAATGAAACTTCAAATATGAAATAAAACTATTAGCAGCGTATAAGTTTAATTAAGATACTCTCAGTTTGAATATCAAATGCCTTTACGTCTACTAAATATTGCATATTTGTCACGTGTTTTTCTTATTTGAGTATCTATGAGTTGTTTTTCTATGAGTATTATTGTTCATTTGTGTAGTATAATAAAAAAAAGTCTGAATGAGTATGAATCGATCTTCTGATGTTGATAGCTTCTTCGCTATCGAAAAACGCGTTTAAAGGAAAATAAATTAAAAAAGTCATTACAGTCTTCAGTGTTTCTTGCTTAGTGTTTTAGTTTAGTGAATAAACTTTTCACGTGATTTTAAAACAATTAATAAATGTCAATAACATTGAGTCTGTTCTTATCGCTTATCGATATTTAAATAAAATATTTACTCGTAGATTTTGTTTCTACTAAGGAAATGTTTTCAAGCTGAGCTGAAATTCGTGAATTTGGAAATAAAATTCATTAAAAAAATAATTTAAAAAGTTAAAATTTCACGTCTTTTAAAAGATAACAAATGATAAATTTAATATTGATCTCTATTAAGAACCTGTTTCAAATTCTAAATTTGGAATGAATTTTAATATTTATTTTTAATCAATGAACACATACGTAAGTTCTGTAAAAATCATCTGATTTATAGATTTTAAACAAAGTGTAGACATCTACAAGCAAATATGCCTTGTTTCAAACAAGACCTCAGAAGAGGAACAGATCGCCAACTAAACGGTCGTTTCAAAGTTTACGCGTCTTTATTCTCGATAATGATAATTTTTCTTGTTATTTTATCATGTTTGAGCCTTATAGGAGTCTCGTCTAAAAGTCATAATGAAGATTCCTTTTCAAAAAGGGACGAAAATTTGGAATTAAAACTTGTTCATGTTGTAAGTATTCAAATTTGAAATGAAAGATTATTTAAAAAATTTGGTTTTTCATTGATTAACTTAGTTATTCCGGCATGGTTCGAGAACTCCGGCAGATACTTATCCTAACGATCCACATGTAAATGAAACTTTCGATCCTTTTGGATGGGGCCAGCTAACTAATGTAATTAGTTCATCACTTTAATCACGTTCTTGACTCTACGTGTGTAACTTTATTTTATTTTTCTCTGAAGGTTGGAAAGCAACAAATGTTCAATCTCGGAACTTTTCTACGTAATCGTTATGACCGGTTTTTGGACCGACTTCTCAAGCTTGATGTTCGCTCAATGCAAACGACTTCTTCATGAAGTGATAAATTAAAAATTTCTTTTATCTCTTTGCTATTTTTATTAGGATGTTCATGCTCAATCAACTGATGTTTCTAGGACAAAGATGTCCCTTTTACTGGTGTTGGCAGGCTTATACCCACCACAAAAAACTTCACTGGAATGGAACAAGAACTTAAATTGGCAGCCAATTCCATTTAGTTATGAAGAATTGAATAAAGATTCATTACTTCTCGTTCGAACACCATGTGCAAGATATGCTGAAGAGATGGAAAGAATTTTACATTATGAAGTTAGAGATGAAATTGATCAAATTACTCCCTTGATGAATGAACTTTCAAATATAACCGGATGGGAAATAAAGACACCTGATGATGTTCAATCACTTTATAGTACATTAAAAGCTGAGGTAAAAATAATTTGATTTTAAATACTTTGAGAATATTTTAATGTCAACTTTTGAACCTTTTAGAAAGAATTTGGTTTGAAACTTCCACAATGGACAGAAAACTTTTTCCCACAGAAGCTACAATATGTTACCGATAGAAGTTATGTTCTTAATGCTTTCAACTCTGAACTCAAACGACTTAAAGGCGGAGTTTTTGTAAAGAAAGCAATTCAAGACTGGAACGAAAAAGCTTTGAATAAGTTAAAAGAGAAAATATTTATTTATGCCGGTCATGATGCAACAGTTACAAATATCTTGTCAGCATTCAATGTTTGGGACGAGCAATTTCCAGATTATGGCATAACTGCTATTCTTGAATTAAGTCAACATAAAGAAACAAAAGAATTTGGAGTGGAAGTAAGAAGAATGATTTAATCATTTTAAAATGAATATTTTTTGATTCTTTACCAAAATCTTGTAGATTTTTCTGAGAAATTCAACTGACTGTGAACCTTATCAATTAACCATACCCGGTTGTGGAAATTTTTGTTCTTTAAAAAATCTACAAACGTTGTTAGAAAGCAACATTCCACAAGATCACGACTTGGAATGTAAGGCGGAGAATGAAGATTTCACACCACCACCACCTGGAGGGCCGTGATGAGAATAATCTATTCATTCCAAGTCTATCTGAAGCAACTATTTTGAGTTTTAGAATAAAACTTAACGTAGTAAAAATTTTATTTCTTTTTTTTTTAAATATTTTAAGTTTTATGTTCCCTAGATAGGGTAATTCGACAAATGTAAAACAGTAAAAATCTATGATAGTCGTGAACACACTTAATTGAAAAACTTTTCAGAGAACTAGAGTGGATAGTCGAAAGAACTTCAATGAACAACTATCGTAGAAATTTACTGTGTTCACAATTGTCTGCTTACCCTAGTTTGTACAGCAAAATTTAAATGCACTTTTTTGACTGGTACTTTTATGAAATGTATCATTATTCGCCAATGTAGTTTGGTTTTCGTTTCTCATTAAAAGCTGCGAGTCCTTCAAGTCGATCTTTTGTTCCGATTAACTGACTATAGCAATCTTCTTCAATTGAATATCCAGTCCCTAAATCGACTTGTGATCCTTTGTTGATTGCCCTTTTTGCCATTTTGACACCAACAGGACCGTTAGGAAGTATTTCTTCAGCAAGTTTGATAGCTCTTTGATAAGCAGCGTCATTGGAGTCATTTTGGGAAACGGAATAATTCACAATTCCCATTTTACTTGCTTCTTCCCCCGAGAATATTCGAGCAGTAAAAATCAATTCTTTGGCAAGTGCTGGACTTACAATACGTGGCAATCTTTGAGTTCCTCCAGCACCTGGCATGATTGCTAAACGTGTTTCTACTAAGCCAAGTTTGACCTGACTTGCAGCAGTTCTTAAGTCACAAGACAAAGCAAGCTCGAGTCCTCCACCCAAAGCAGCTCCTAAAATAAAAAATTAACTTATTAAACTATATACTCTGATGCATTATTTTCTGTTTTATTTTACCATCTATTGCAGCTATAACCGGCATTGGAAGATTTTCAATGTTGACAATAAGTTGACGCAATGAATTTACAAAACGACGAACCTCCAAAGGTGATAACGTTTGTCGTTCTTTCAGATCAGCGCCGGCACAAAAAATTCCTTTAACAAGACTCCTGATCATAAAAATTATTAATCTCAATGTCACAAATTTGATACGCATAATAATTTTACCTTATGATAACAACGCGAACATTTTTGTCATGGCCAAGAACGTCAACAGAATTATTAAACTTTGAAACTAGAGATTTATTGAGTGAATTTTTTCCATTCTCACGATTGAGTTCTATTACAGCGATGCCCTGGCGATCACCTGTTAGATAACTAAGTTTCAACTCATCAGGTTTTTCAATTTTCTCACTGCAAAAATTTCTCCCAAGAACTGATATAAAATTTCTGTTTATTCGAGGACTCCTCAATACAAAGCTCATTGATTTGTTTAGGAACAACATCGCACAGCCAATTTTTTTAACAAATAATGCTGAACCTTAGCTGTTTATGAAAAACTTATTTACGATTGACGAATCAGGAGAATTAAAAAAAATTGTTGCTCAGTTCTATACACATAACTCTAAGGCGCTAAATATTTATTAGGACTCGAAGTTATGCAAAATGTACAACAGTAAAAACGTTTACAAAAGAGTTTTCCTCTAACATTTGGATTTGTTTTAATTGAATGCTTTTTCTTTTAATCAAGTTTATCGAATTAATAAATTAAATCCATTCTCCAATAGTTTTGCAAATAGTAATTGAGTATCATGATCTATTAGTAGGCACATGAAATCAGATAACCCGCAGTCAAAATGTAGATAGTAACATGCAGAAAGACTTATCACACTTATCGCAATAAATTAAGTAACTTACTGATATGATAAGAGTTACTTTTTATTCGATAAGATGTTACGTTTTTTATTTTCTTTCAATTGAGTTTATAGATCGGACAAATCACAATGAAAACAGAATTATTGTTAACAAAATATTTTATCGGTATAATCATAATAATTGCTGCTTTTCATATAAGCAATGGACACGTAAGAATTAATTAATGAAAATAAAATATTGACCGCAAGATTCTATTTATTCTTCTTTCCTATTAAGCAACAAATCAGACTTAGGCGATTAAAGTTTGCAGTTTATAATATTGAAGATTGTGCAGAAGAAATAGGAATCGATGAAGAAAATGCAAATAAACTTATAATGGGTGATATGACAATTGATAGTGATGAAGCAAAAGTAAATTATACAAATTTAATCTGAGATTAAACCAAGAGATTGAAACGTGTAAATTCTTATTCTTTACAGTGTTTTCTTAGATGCTTTTATAAGAAAGTTGGATTTTCTTCTCAAGACGATCAACCAGCACAAATTAATTTCATTGCTCAATCCCTAAAAGATTGTGTCACTCTTAAAGACGAAATTTTAAAAAGAATAGCAAAGAAATGCGTGGAACTGGAAAGTGAAAATGAATGCGAAAAAGCTTTTGAAGTATGTAAAAGAAAAAATAATTCCTTTGACAAGTTTTAATAATTTTTTCTTTCATAGTTTCATCGATGTCTATTCAAAGAAGCCTCAAAATATAATGACGAATTATAATCTTCAATATCTATTCAAATTTTAAGAGATGCCTGAAGGAAAAAGGTAAATTTAATCACGCAAATATATCACCACGTTGCAAAAAAAATTTGGCAAGTTGAAAATAATAAATTTTTTTGTATCTACATTTGTAATGAAACGTCTTTGAAATTTTTATTCTAATTTACTTTTTAAACGAGTAATCACACAACAATTATCTAACTAATCAATCATTGAACTACTATGTATAAACTTCCGTATTCAAAAGTTTGTCGATTTTTTTTCTGATTTTTTCTTCGTTTTCTATTTTGGTGTGTCGATTCCACTCATTCCAATATATCAAAAGTGATTTAAAACCAATTTTTTGTAGTTGTTGAATTTTCATTTGAAGCGCTGAAATATAAATGAAAATTTAATAAAATTTATTGAACTCTAATCGTGAATTATTTACCTCCTGTTGGTTTAAGAGAACCTTTAAGATGGGAATTGTTTCCAACAATAATAACAGCAAGTAAAGAAAATTTATTTATATTGTCTCCAAATTCTGCCTTTTCCGATAAAAGAAATTCCTTCGACAATATTTTGCCTTGATAAAACGGTGGAAAAACTAAACAATCAGTCACTGATTTTCCATGTTCATCGAAACAATAAATTATATCAGATTGCGGAAAGTGAGGCAGAATATGTGTTACAAAATTAAATCCAAATATTTGCTCCATGAATTCTTTCACCTCTAAAGTAAAGAAATCGAGTTTTGTCTTTCTGAAGAATTCTTCTCTTATTGGAACGTAAAACGTGTTGTACTTGGCAATAATTCTCCTTGTTCTGTCATCTAGTTTCGGTCCTTTGTAAGTATCTTTTAGATTGATTTGTGCAAATACATCGAGGCTTAAAACATCACGACTTATAGCTCTAATGTTGTCACCTGAAGGAAAACAAAAACAAAAATTTCTTTTATAGAAATTGAAGTGAATAAAGCACAAAATTATTCTCACCATAAGCAAATTTAATAAACTTTTCTTTTAAAATGAGCTCGATAACTTCCAAATCATAAAATCCACACATTGAAAGATTTTGAGCGATCGACACTAAATCTCTTGGGTTTTGTAGAATTTCCTTTTCACGAAGTTTCAGCTTTTGAGAAAGTTTTTCTAAAAATTCTTTTTCAACTCCTGATTCGGTTTCCATGTCTAAGATATATAAAACATGAGAAATATCAGCTAATTCAGGTAGTTTCAAATCATTCATTTCATTTGTGAATCTTCTTAAGAGAATTTCAATTAAATCATCGGGGGAGTAGTAAATGTAGGATCCATGTACGAAAAGTTGAATGCAAGATTCGATGTGGAGATTGTTGATTCGTTTCTGTACTTTTTCCAAGAGCGTTTTAATCTTTGGAATGTGACAAGGATTTGCTGATCTACGAAGAACTTTTAAGATGACCTTTAGTGAAGTTTCAGGAATTGTATCGATTTCAACAATTAGCACATCATAAATTCTACCAATGAGGTGATTGCATTTGATAGTTTTATTCAATTTTTGGTATCCTTGACAAACATGACTTATTTCTTGAGTATTTAAACTATCAAACACTTCTTTGACTCTTATTTCAACATCAACTAAAGAAATGTCTAATTTGCACATTGACAGATACATCATTGCTAGAGCCAGCTCTTCTGGTGTTAATCTGTGAAGTTTTCTTAATATTTTTGGTACAGCTTTTGCCCATAAAAAACTACAATAATGAGCTAATGATAAACTCTTCCATAGCTCGCACATTTTAAACAAAGCTTTGTAATCCCAATCTGGTGAACGATTGCAGCAAATATCATCTAATGTCATCCATAGTTCGTAATAGTTTTTGTCACGTCTGTCTGCGCATTTTGGAAACCTTTTTAGATCTTTTAACACTTTAATAATTTGTTCATTGTTGAAATTGTCAGCTTTTGCAATGATATTATAGATGATTTTATCATATTTATCATCTGATATTAATGAATTTGTAGCAGCACAATGGTAACTCAATGCCTCAAACGCTTTCAAAATATCGTTTTCTGACATACTTTTAAAATCATCATCTAAATTTAACCTCCATGCACTGTCGGCATCTTCAGATATCTCTTTTGATTCGTTGAATTTTAATTGCGGGAGAATAATTCCCTTTTTATTCACATCTAAATTTGAGAGAAACACAATAGCAGGAATATAAATGTTGCGTTTTTGAACAATACTTGTTAAATTATGAACTAAAAGCCGCGTAATTCTTTTATTAATAAAAGTAAACATTTCGAATTTATAAGTTGCTCAGATTTAGTAAACAAACATCGAGGGGAAGGAAAAGATGAGCAACTTATCAACAAGGGTAATCCGACAATTGTGAATACAGTAAAAGTTAAATTTATTTTGATAATGAAGTTTTCCATGTCCTTTCGATCAAAATTTCTTTGAGAATATAAAAAGATGTGATAGAACGAAAAAATCAAAATTTATTACACAAATTCTTCTGATTCTAAATGAAAGTAGTCTTGCATACTCGTCATTTATTTGTTCATCATGACATTCATTAATTTTAATATTATAATGCTTACATTCATACTTAATTTATGTTTAACTTTGGTTTAACACATAAGTATTTTAGGTGATGATGTCTTTAACAAATCGTTTGATACTTAGATATACGTTGAGCATTATTGGGGTTACTGTTTCATTTTAGTTAAGAGTTTTCCTTTTTTTGTAGTTTATTAACGCTTTGATATCAATTCATCATTTTTTAATTAATTTTTATTAAAATATTTGACACAGAATTCTGTATTTCTAAATATGAGAAAATAAATATTAAAGAGGCACGAAAGTTCTAATTGTAATTATCATGTTGACGATCAAGTTAAATTTATAAATGTATAATTGTATCTATTAACATTTCTACATTCCTGATATATATTTATGCTACTTAATATCTTACAGTTTGTTAAGTAAATAAATAAGTAAGTAAGATATGTAATTGTGCTTTCGATTTACTTCAGATCATGGATGTAATCTGTGGGCTAGATGTAAATATATTTAAATACTTTTGTAATTTATGAATGAATAAATGCGGAGGTGATAAACCGACGTACTAAGTCAATATGATTTTGGAAATGTTTCCAATAAATTTATAACTTCTGTATAATGTAAATTTTTATCCGAAAATAAATAAATATTCAAGGAAAGGTCAAAGTTTTCAAACATCAAGTGACGCAATAATAACTTTTAGCTTGATAAGTAAATAGGAAATTTGATGAGAAGATGCTGTTAGAGTACAGACTAAAATTGCAAATATTTTAGGATTTTTCTTGTTGAAGTTCTAATTGTTAACTTTGATTTTAAATTTTAAAGAAAGCCCAAAAGGAAATTTTCGATTGATATTTGTTATTTAATCATTTCTTTAGGTGTTAGATTGTCAACATGTAGCTTAGGATTATCCAATTAAAACACCAACAAATACATTTTTAATTCAAATACTAAAATTTAAGTTCATGACTTAGAGGGTTAAGATTTTTTTTTTCATATTAATTAATCGCATGAAATTTTCATTACATTTAAAATCGTTTCTGGAAAGATTTTTCTGACAATTTTTAAAATAAATATTTACTTTTAATATCGATCCAGATTGTAAATAAAATAGATATCTGAGTTTATGTAATTAGAGTTGAGATCCTCAGTTCAGCGATAATATTTAAAAGGTTTAAAGAACTTAAAACGAAAGTGAGAAATGTTTTTAAGGTCAATGCCTAAATATTCATGATCAGAATAATATTATTTTATCTTGTAGCACTCTTTTTCTATAAATATTTGAATGTAAATGATTTTCGACAGATTAAATTCTTTCATCTTAATAATTCTTCAAATTACTTTCAGTAAAGCAGATCACAAAATTGAAGTCATTTGATTTGATGAGTCGAGATGAATTTCATCGAAGTTATGTTGTCTACTTCCACCACTTGAACGACTGTGCTGATGATGTGATTTTTTCCCACTGTTTCCTCCACTAATCCCTCCAATACATCCTGAAGTAACTCCGTAAATATTTCCACCACTTTTTTGCTATGTGTGTTGTTGGTATGAATACGAATGCGTAAGAGAAATTGTGGCTGGACCGTAAGGAGATTCCGGTTTAGCAATTTTGTAAGAGTCATAGAATGGGTACTCGCAACAAAGAATGAATTTGAGTGCTTTCGGTACTTCAGAATAAATTGAAGTCGGTATTGGTATCAGAGGTGAAGTTTCAAATTTGTATCTGCGGTAATCCATGTTTCTGTACGTCATTTAAAAATCACTATAAATTGATAAAACATTCAATGCCATCTACTCACTCTCTATACTTCTCGTCTGATACTCTTTCTCGAACCGGAATTCCCGATAGAAAAAGGATAATAAATGTCGTAAAGAGTGGAGATAATATTGCAATCCATTCAATTCCTTTAATGACATTCAATGATATCACAAATATCCCCCACCATAATATTATTTCACCAAAATAATTTGGATGACGACTAACTTTCCACAAGCCTATCAAAAAAATAAATAAAAATAAGAATTTAAATATTTCTAAAAATTAATTAGATATGTTGTGAAGGTACAAAAAATTAATTAATTTCATCATGAAATTAAGACAAATGAAGGAAAATCTCACTAATTTAGGTAATTTATATTTCTTTAATCTATCTTGCAATATTTTATGAAATTTATGCG